CAACGCCGCATGACAGGATCAGGGAAAACCAAACACTTCCAACGGATAAAAGTTTGTAATTAGCACAGGGACATCTGTTGTGAGCTACCAGCAATGACCCTTTCAGGATTAAGAAATGAAGGAAGATGGAAATAACTGGTAACAAATGTAAAGTGCAAAAATGGAGATTCAAAGAAAAAACATCTATAACAAAAAACCCTGAGCAGAAGGTATAACATCAACTCAACTACGTAGCGACGCAATTACAGATGCCTAACTTACAAACTATTTTCCAGATTCCGTGGTGTGTACTAAGAAATCCTAATCGTATCGCTTCCAGCACATCATCGTCATCGTCGGAATGGAAAAGATCGCTATTCTAAAAAAGTTACTAGACTACAGGAATAAGAGAAAGTATCAAATAGACTACCATTATATTGTTTAAGAGGTTTTTCCTGACATATTCGCTAGCCTCATGCCCACCATGACCATCGAATATGCCAAAAAAAGTAAATTTGATAGATCCATCATCGTTTCTTATAGTTTCGATATGCACCCGGTCTTCCATGTACTTACGGCCGCCCTTAAATACTGAATGCAAAAAGAAGAAGAAATGAAGATGAAGAGACGAACCTGATTAGCTGCGACAGTGATACGAAGATTTTCTCCGAGATACATGCTTGGAAAGCTTGCACCTTTTTTAGCTCCGCTGAAATTTGGAGCCATATCGACAAAAACAGCACCTACTTTTCTTGAGGGATCAACTTCACTCTAAATAAACAGTCATGGTTACATAGATTATAAGTTTGCATTGGAAAGATTACTGCGCGTGCTTGCAAGCTGGCGCTCACGTGAGGAGAAGCCTACAAACTCAGAGGATAAGCATGAACGGCAACTACGGTATTCGAACAACGACATAACAACATCATAAATTTGCATAAAACTACATAGTACCATAAGTACTATGGTAGTACTTAGTTATGTAGTATTTGGCAAAGAGAGGGGAATACTGTCTGTCAGAGTCTTATAGAAAACTTTTCTTCAATCTACAAAGAGAAATGCCCCATTCAAAAATGCTATTACAGTCACAAGATGCGTAAAACACAAGGTCGTATAGAAGAGAAAATTGAAAAACTTGGAGATTTCTAGCGCTGTATAAAATTCCAAAGTAAATGGTTCACCGCAACTACTCATGATAGAGGGATTTGTAGACCTGGTTCATCAAAAAACCGTTACTTTGGAAATTAGAGAAGAAAATATTACGGAAGGGAAGGGTACAAAAACAGAATGAGGAAGCGACACCTGCGACCGCCTCGCGCATCTCGGAGACGCGCTCGCTGCACGGTGCGACTGGAGCAGCTCGGAGGACTGAATAAAAGAGAACTTCATATTTAGATATTAGTAACTGAAAACGAGTTGCCTCGTACTTCCTCCCATGTCACTACTGGATCAGCTGAAATTCACGCGAAATAAGTTAAAGCCTACCACTACTAGGTTTGTCTATTTGTTATCACATAATAACGATTTCAAAGCTCTTATATCTAGAATACTATTATTCGACATCTTCTTTCATAACACTGCTCTAGCGTTGTCAGTTCGAGAAATGTTGTATTTAGACTTTCGCATCTCCTAGCGTTTCCGAAATAAGCGAAACAGAATCCCGTTGCAATCTTCGTCATCACGTGCTGCCTTTTGCCGCAATACGCATACGCAGGTGTGAGCATCGCGCAGCATACTCGACGCGGCAAATCTGAACGCCCAGGGCTCCTTCATACCGCCGCGTACGCCGCTGCAGCGCAATGTATGCTTGAGAGTTTGTAAGGGGGAGTAGCGGATACGTCTTATAGCG